AAATGAAGTAGTGTTGTGTGTATGTGTGTAGGTGTTTTTGTGTCTGTGTGTATGAGAAAGAAATACACACAGAGATACTAGAGTGTGGCTATTGAAATGAGTCATAAAATGTAAATGGTAATTATGAAAAAATGATATCAAAAAGCTGTTTATGGTATGAATAGCTGAAGACTTGCTGAATAGTTATTAGTTGAAATGGTGGTTTAGCTGAAGGTATGCTGAAGATATTAAGATGTGAAAATTTTTCCCGGCGCCATGTCTTCCGATGAGGAAGCAGAGGCTGAGGGCTCAGAAGTGGACTAGTCCATCACCCAAGCTGAAGTCACTGAGGTAGTCAAGAAGCTTCTCAGTGGCAAGGCACCGGGAGTGGATGAGATCCGCCCTGAGTACCTTATGCCTGTGGATGTTGTGGGGCTGTCTTGGTTGACATGCCTCTGCAACGTCGCATGGCGGTCAGGGACAGTGCCTCTGGACTGGCAGACCGAGGTGGTGGTCCCTCTTTTTAAGAAGGGAGACCAGAGAGTGTGTTCCAACTATAAGGGGATGGGATCACACTCCTCAGCCTCCCCGGGAAAGTCTATGCCAGGTTACTGGAGAGGAGAATTCGACCGATAGTCAAACCTCGGATTCAGGAGGAACAATGCAGTTTTTGTCCTGGCCGTGGAACACTGGACCAGCTCTATACCCTCTTCAGGGTGGCGGAGGGTTCATGGGAGTTTGCCCAACCCACTCTGAAGGTTCCATTACTCTGAGCATTGCCACAGTAGTCCTGAGGAAGAATAGACCACACACACATACAGACGGGCAGTTAGTAAATTTGTAGTTTGTAATTTTTCATTTGTCAGAGAAATGGGATATCGGTGTTTCTAAAAACTAAATATAAAAAAATCACAGTGGGTGACAAGCAAGGGGTGAATTTAAAGTATTATATTAATGTATTCATGATATTCATCCTTTCATAGAGCCTGTCTGTAAAATAACAGTTCCAAGACAGCACACTCATTAAAGTAATAATTTCTTTAAAAAGTACTCAACAGTCATGTTTAATTAATGTGGCAGTAAGATGTTGGATTGCACAGTATATCAAGTGCCTACCTATTTAAATGGAACTATTCATTTATACTCAAAAAGCAAGCAAGCACATAGCAGCATACCAGCATGATTAGTACTGTATGTTGTGACCTCTCTTATGTGATCACTTGCACAAGAAGGATTTGTGTGAAGATGTTCAGTCAGGATTTAGACTCCATCATAGTACAGAAGCACCAGTGAAAGTCACCAACAATGGACAACGGACTCATCTCTACACTTGTCTTTCTAGATCTTAGTGCTGCATATGACACCAGTGATCACAACATTTTATAATAAAGACTGGAACATGTCATTGGAATTACAGTTTTTTCAGTTGCTAACACTAAAATAGCACACTTGGCACAATCAACAAAACTGACACTGTAGGGAGCAAAAATTCAGCTCAACTCTTCAAATTTCTTACGTTTTCTGCTTTGCACCAATGTTGCAATTTAAAATGATATTCTTTTTCCAAAACACTACACCGTTCTCTACATCTGCCATAAAATCACTTGTATGCCATTTCAAAAAATTGTCATTCAAAATGTCACACTACAGAACCAATTTTAAAAAACCTTTTGCCACTGGGCCAAACACCTTATTGCTTAATTATTGACTCATTAATCAGAATGTTGACTTTGACTTTATTAGCACTATAGAAAGGACCAAAGGTGAGCACCTATTTACAACAACAGTGGAAGTTGACCTAGCAGGTGGAAGTAGAGCTCAAGATAGAGGTAGATGTTTGGGATGTTGTCATGGAAATTACATTATTAAGTATGTTTTAAACTGTGTTTTAATCAGTATATTAACCAACATTCCCCCGGAGGAGCTGGAGGAAGTGTCTGGAGAGAGGGAAGTCTGGGCATCTTTGCTTAGACTGCTGCCCCCGCGACCAGGTTCCGGATAAGCAGAGGAAAATGGATGGATTAATCAACATATGTTATTCAATGGATTTTAAACTTTCAGAACAGACCACAGATCACAGGGACTAAGCTAAAGCTAAATGTGTTAAAAAGTATAAATGTTACAAACAATAAAAATATAGGCAGGAATGTCCTTAAAGAGTTGAACATTTTGATGACTTCATGGCTTTTGTAGCTGAAAGTATGCTGAAGAAATTGTGCCAAAAAACGAACGGAAGAAATCAGAATAATAAAGAACAGGATAATATAGTGTTCCTCAATTTAAACAATTTAACCATGCGAATCGTTATTGTGAATTCCATATCGGATCGGTCAAGGCCCAGGTTAATAACGATCGCCACCAGTGCTGTTGACCTACAGGGTGCTGGCGGAAATTGGACTACTGTTGGTCGAAGAAGGAGAGGAGGTAGAAGGATTCGTAGACAGAGAGAAAAGAGGAAAGGCAGGAGTATAGGTCTGAGAATAGGGACTTTTAACATTGGCACAATGACAGGGAAACGTAGAGAGCTGGCGGACATGATGGAGAGAAGGAAGGTAGATATACTGTGTGTACAGGAGACCGGGTGGAAGGGATGCAAAGTGTGTAGAATTGGAGGGGGATACAAACTGTTTTATTATGGTGTGGACAGGAAGAGAAATGGGGTAGGAGTGATCCTGAAGGAGGAGCTCGTGAGGAATGTTTTAGAGGTGAAAAAAGTGTCAGACAGGGTGACCAGTTTGAAGTTGGAAATTGAAGGGGTAATGTTGAATGTAGTCAGTGGTTATGCTCCACAAGTAGGGTGTGAGTTAGAAGAGAAGGAGAGATTCTGGAGTGAGTTAGATGAGGTGATGGAGAGTATTCCAAGAGGGGAGAGAGTGGTGATTGGGGCAGACTTCAACAGGCACGTTGGTGAGGGGAACAAAGGTGATGAGGAGGTGATGGGCAGGTTTGGTGTTAAGGGAAGGAACCTAGAAGGACAGATGGTGGTGGACTTTGCTAAGAGGATGGAAATGGCTGTAGTTAACACC